CGGCACGAAAAGTGCAAAAACGCATAATCGCACCGGCCCGCCTGGTGCGTTCCAGCCTGGGTTATCTTATGTAAATACAAAAACGCATAATACTGAGAGCGTTTCTGGGCGAGTGTGTTTTTGGAAGCGAGTAACTTCGTCACCCACTTTCAGCAAATACAAGAACCATGGTGCAACACTACCATCCCAACCGGCGCCTTTACCACCCGTATATAAGAAAAGACAAAACCATAGGCACATGAGTTGCACGTGTTAAACTGTAAAGCGGTAACCATTCATATTGTTGACGATCTGACTGCGTCAAATTTGGCGTAAAAGCGCATGATCACAAGGGCAAACTTGGTCCACTGTTATCTGGGTTTTATTAAAAAGTGGGTTCGCGAGCTTAAGTGATTATGTAAATCAAGCCAGCGTGTTGCCAAAGGTTGCCCATGCCTGATCTAGACGTATTGACTGCACACGATATTTCTTGTTGCTATCCAGTGAAGCCTATACCGGAGAAACGTTCTTGACCTCTGCGAGTGCGATTCCTACGCTGCTGCTTCAACGTTCTCAGCAAATTTTGCGAACAGAAAAGATATCTGTCTTAGGCGTTTGAGCAAAAGATCCACTGCTTTTAGCTAACTGCGCAGTGTTCCCGCTGAAAGGCCCTTACAGTGACGGCTGGAAATCGGCTTTCGTCGCATTTTTGCCTGAGCTGTATAAAATTGTCATCTCGAATGCCGTAATACCATTGTTATTATTATCGCACACTGAAAGAGGTCGTTCATCTGACTAGGCAGAATAAAATGGCCGCTGCTCTTCAGCGTCTCCTTATTTTGGCTTTTTTACTTGCCTTGGACAACAAATTGATATTTGCTAGAGAGTATATCGAATCAAGAATTGCGGCTCGTAAGTCGCGCAGCTTTTATTGCTCTAGTTGTTGCTAAATGTTAACATTGCTATAGTCTTACCAATAAAGCAAAACTGAGAAAATCTCGATTTCTTGAATTCACTTGAATTTATCAATCCGAAAAACGAAAAGATTTTTGGATGCTGGTGGTGCAGTTCCTACTCGGATGATTTATAATTGACTGTTTTTAGATGTTGTTACAGTGGAATGTCAGGAAGCAGCGCTAAATTGTACCACACATTGGGATATGGTGCCTTTCATTGCCCCAGTTGGACTATGTGAAGAGTAACAAATATCAGTAGTCATAATTTATCATTTTGATTAAATTTAAATGACTAGGAGGATCAAGATTAGCTGTGTGCACGTTACGGTTGTTGCGGCGCAATCGCTTGCCCAGTTCAGCTGTGCAACTTGTCTACCTTCCGCTACTGCCAGAGACGGCCAAAGCATGACTGTATAATCTTTTAGGCCTTGCTTTAAGATGCACTGTCCTTATCAAATGAACTTAAAAATTAAAATGGTGCGTGTTTTACTACAGTCATTAACCTCATTCTGCACTCGCTTTAATGTACAGTAAAAACATTAGGGTTAGAGTTGCTATTAAGCTTTTTTTCTGAAAGGTTTTTTAACAACTTGTATTTTGACTCTGAACACAATTTGGGACAGTTTGCTGGATTTAGGCTGCAGAACTGTTATTTATCCAAGAGTGGGTCTAACAGAGAAGGAGGTGAACCACCCAAGGTGGCGATCTAAGCAACGCAAATCTCTGACAGCGTTGCATGGATTCATAGCAACCATAGCGAAATCTACGTGTAAGATTTTTGGTTGTCACTTCCTAAATTTTTTTCAGATATTTCCCAATTGAATGCCTTGCAGAATTAGTGGTCTCAAAGAACTGCAAGGACGATGCTGGATATGGCGAATTTTTGACGAGTTTAGCGACCGACATTGGTGGGTATGAATTTCATTTTCTTTTCTTCAAAAGTTACAAATTCCGCAGTAGCAAAACATTTTATTTGCAGATGACTGTGTAAAATCTGGCATGAAGTGGACGGCGGTCTTCTTGAAACGAATGATTCAGAAAGCAGTCTACCAAATTTTATGCCACAAAACGCAGCTTATCTGCTATAATGTTACGAATTGGAATCCAGCTAATGGAACATGCGAGTGCGTTTGCCGTTTTACAGAATCTACACAAATTAGACCAAAATTAGTTTGCAAACTTCACTGTTAGGTCTTGTGTAACACTGCACTGAGTGCACGAGAAGGAAGTAGTCATGACACACATGCTAAAAAAAGAGCAGAGTCGAGCCAGAATTCTTGTCAGATTTGAAGGTTTCGGATGACTGTAGGGGATGTAAGGTCGCCGGGCCTATATTGACGCAGCGTGGAACTTTGACTGTTCATCTAGCATTATCATAAGAGAAAGTGAGCTGAAAAAGTGAATGACGTGTGTTCGATCGCAAATTAATCATCTTCATGTGCGCTACTGCAGCTTGGAATTTGCCGGATGCATAATGGATAGCTTCGGGGACGAATACTGCGCAAAAGTCGGCGATGAATTAGAGGTCAGTTTGGTTCAGCAACAATAACTAAAAATGAGCTAGATAACAGACCGTCACTCATTCACTCAATGTAAACGCAATAAAATCGAAGTGTGCTGGAGGAGAAACGAGTCTATTAAATCAGAATCAAATAGATTTTGATCAAATTCGTACTGGATTTCACTGTTTTGTGTGGGAGGCCCTGTTGTTTCTAGTTTCAGCAGCACCAGTAACCTGCAGACAATTTATGCGAGGGTTCTAAGAGTGTAGAGTGAAGTGCGCTGATAACGAGAAGCTTGATGACGACAAGTGTGGCTTGTCCAGCATACCCCGACTAACGGTGAGGGTTGTTCGATTTTGGAAAGTAATTTCCAAAAGACATTTCTTCCAGCTGTAAACAGTACTAGGAAATTTTCAAAGCTTTTTCTCCGGAATTCTCGAGTTTAAAATTAACGAACTGTTGTAGTATCTGGAATTCGAAAAACAGCCAAACTGATGCAACTTAGTAAGGGGCTGGCTTTCTTTTCCCCAGCATTAGCTTTAGCCAGTCAGATTAACGCATTAACGCCGAATGACGCCCTTCGACCTAAATTCATCTTCTTCAGCACAGGTTGGTTTTTTTCGCCTAAATTCCATTCACTATGTTGGTTTTATTTATCCCAATTCAGTTTAGTTTCATTCAGAGGCTCTCTGGTCGTTTGAACAGCGAAGGGTAAGACGCACGTTTCTCATTCCAGTACACTTTCCCTCGTTTCCTTTCTAATGCCTAGGAAGTAATGCAGTGGTCCTTCGGTTCACTAGTTTCTGGAGAAGCCAGCGAAAGATTCTGATATGTTATAAAAGCACTTTCAGCAAGCATTCTTCCAATGTTTGTCGGGTGCGTCACGATGTCGCAATAAAGAGGAGATGATTATCGAATGTGAAAAAGAATATTTGGATCACTCTAGGCAAAGCACTGAGAAGATTGACAGAGAATTTGAGATGGCTGATGCTAATCAGACTCGTTACCAAGATAAAAAAAAGTAAAACGATAAATAAAGCGTATTAGCATGCAGTCTCTGTCACGTAGGCTTGATCAGCCTCATGCCTTTACGTCTGATTTTTTAAAAATTCACGGACTGCTATTACCACTATGTAATTTGCAATCTTCGAAAAAAAAAATTGACTCACGTTAAAATTTACTTAACAATTTAAGAACAGTTTATTAGTAACAATAAATTAAGGCTCAGTTGACACAGGATTCAAACATATTCAAGCCGCCTGAATTAATTAATTTTCTTTGGTCGCATATGCCAGTATGAACCTGAAAATCCTTCAATGCTTTAAAAACTGGCAGCGAAGTAAAGATCAAAAAATTATTTCTTTAGAAATAAAGTGCGTTTTGAATCAAGAACCTCGCATTTCTTTAGGAATTTTCCAGTCAAAACTCACTGCATTGCTATTTTGTTATTATTGCAGCAGGCGCTATGAGTCCAAGCGCGATCACCCTGCATTTTTGATACTGTACCAGACGCTAACAGAATCAAGGTTTTTGAAATCAGCTCTTTGGCTTTTCAGTGCAAAAACAAAAAGCCTCATTGATTATAATCGGCCCTGTTCACCTGATGATAAAAATTGGAATACTCTGCAGTGAAATTGTTTAGCAAACTGTTATCGAGCAATACTCATTTTCCACACAAATTCCAGCAATTTTAATATCAGTTTCACGCAAACCGGTCCCCGCTCTGTAAATTCTCACTTTCGAGAAAAACCCAGGCTGGAAGTCACCGGGCGGGCCCGTGCGATATGCGTTTTTGCACCGGACTTGAATTATTCAGATCACTAACTGTATGAATGGCTGCTGCTTTACACTTCCCTTTTGCAGTCACCAGCATAAATCACTAT